ATCATTGATTCCAAATTGACAGACGACAGCGAGTCAGGGGATACACATATCACTGCGATCGCCGTTCAGTGATATGTGTATCCCCAATACATCTTGGGGATACAATGTGGATACGCATATCGCGGCAATCGCAGTCAATATGTGTATCCCTTGGTAAAGCAAGCGCTTTTGTCTGTCCAGCAAATTACTAGCTAAGCTTATATATGGCTAGTAAGTGTATTATTGATTCCAAATTGACAGACGACAGCGAGTTAGTCAGGGGATACACATATCACTGCGATCGCCGTTCAGTGATATGTGTATCCCCAATACATCTTGGGGATACAATGTGGATACGCATATCGCGGCAATCGCTGTCAATATGTGTATCCCTTGGTAAAGCAAGCGCTTTTGTCTGTCCAGCAAATTACTACCTAAGCTTATATATGGCTAGTAAGTGTATTATTGATTCCAAATTGACAGACGACAGCGAGTTACTCGGGGGATAGACATATCACTGCGATCGCCGTTCAGTGATATGTGTATCCCCATTATATCTTGTGGATACACTTTGGATACACATATCACGGCAATCGTAGTTAGTATTTGTATCCCCTTACTAAAGCAAGCGTTTTTATCTGTCCAGCAAAATACTGGCTAAGTATGGCTTGTAAGTGTATTATTGAGTCAAAATTAACAGAAGTGTGATCTAAAATCACTGCGATCGCTTTTCTGTGATACGTGTATCCCCTGATGTTTATTGATATATATCACTGGACGGTGATTCAGTAGTGATGTGTGTATCCTGGCCTCTCTAGCCCAGTGCAATTTCTAATCAATAAAATATTTCAAAATCGCACTCATAGGCACAGTGGGAAGCAAACGTTTGTGATATGTTGGGATACACATATCAGTGAACGTTGATCGCAGTAAAATTGGTATCCCTGGCCTGTAAGCGCTTTTGTTTGGCTAGACACTTTACCAAAAACAATTTCTAATCAATATTTCAATTCCGCACCCATGGGCGCATATTTATAGAACCAGGAACCCTTTCTTAAATACAACAAATTATTCCATTAGGCGTAGATGCTACGTTGATTTAACTGTTCTCACGCAACGCTTCTACCCACCGGAAATTCCTCTATTAAACAATGCCCAAATTAGGAAGTTGGACCTTGTATACTTATGACCTTTCTTTCGCGGGAAATTCGCATCTTACGAGAATTATTAAGATGGATGCCACAAAATATTCAAATCTGGTTCATTATTTGAGAGATAAAGAGTATCCAGAGGGCGCAAGCAAGCGTGAAAAAGGAGTGTTACGGAGACTTTCGAAACAGTTCACGTTTGATGTACAATCAGGCTCGCTTTTCTACGTCGACCGTGGTAACGATGGATTAACCTTTAACCGCATGGTCATTCAAGAGGAGGAAAAGACAAGAGTTTTCGACGAGTGTCACTCTTCACCTTTTGCGGGCCACGCTGGGCGGGACAACACCATACAAAAAATTAAGGAGCGCTACTACTGGCCCTCTTACTACAAGGATACTGTTGAATTGGTAAGTTTAATAAAATGTATAGACGTAGAGGCATTGGTGTTGAATAACATTTGATACCATCACGGTCTGTCACAATTCATGCATCTTAACACTAGCGTTTCAGTGGCAATTATTTAAAAAAAAGAGGCCTGAAAAGTCGCGGTTTTGCAAAAAGCGGGCTCAAGTAAAGAGCATGATTCTTTCAGCGAGATCAGCCATGTGAAATAGTCAGTCAAATTTGTGAATTCTGTAGTTCCCAGTACTTGTGAGACACAGCCATATAATAAAAGGCATTTAACAACAATAATGGTAAAATATTTATAAAACAATGAATTTTCTTTACTTCCAATAGATGTTGTAATAAAAGAATCATAGGCTTCTCTATGTTCTCTCAATGCTTCTCTAAGTGTGGCCTTCTCTTACACAAACAGATTCGAAATTGTGACCGGTGTCAACGTAATACCAGTGAAAGCAAAAGTTACGACGTGCTGCATCCCGTGAAGGTGGTTTCTAAAGTTTGGTACCTAGTCGGTATTGATTTAATAGATGCCGGCAAAGTTTCTGCCCAAGGAAACCGCTATCTTCTGACAATGACGGATTACTTTAGCAAGTATGTAGAGGCAATTCCTCTGCCAGACAAGAGTGCCATAAGCGTAGCAAAGGGCCTTTACAAAGCATATTGTCGCCATGGAGCCCCTGCTCACATCATTTCAGACCAGGGTAGAGAATTCGTTAACCAGGTAGGTCAGCGTTTTATACAACGGAAACCTTTGACAGACATCTGTGTAGGGGCTTGCATGACGTTGCTTCATTGTCTCTGTTGCAGGTGTGCGAGCGCTTCATGACAACATTTGGTGTCCACCAGAGGATCGCGTCAGCATATCATCCGGAGTCTAATGGCCTAGATGAGAGATCAAACCAGTCAATAAAGAAGTGAGCGTTGCAATCATTTTCTGTCTAAAAATAACTCTTAACTCCTATCAGTGAGATGAAAGAGGGCATGACATGCTACCTAAAATATCATTAAGCTAAGCTAGTGCTTTCAAAGTTTATTTCCATTCGGTAATGGCTTGGGATTCCAGTGTTAAAACTACGGACTGAAGCGAATGCAAAGATGTTAAATATTACATATTATCAGAATTACAAGAGCAGGTAATACATCATCTAATTACTACCTACCTAATGTTCTTATTCCAGTTCGTATAAAATGGTTGGTGCCAATCATTTTCCACGAACTGGAATAAGAACATTCTACCGACAACAATCATTCACTTGACTCTGATGATGACTTCCGCACAGGTTGTCGAAACGTCAGTCACTACCAACGACAACAGTCCTTCTCAGGACCACACTCACCCGGACGATCAGCCTCCACTTTCACATGTTACCCCTGGGTTCAAGCCATTTACTGCACTTGTCACTTTTGTTTAGTACCCTTAGGAAGATTGCGGATGACCACGATCAGGATTGGGACGAGTACACGGATGGTGCTCTTTTTGCAATTAACACCAACAGATCAAACACCACCAAGTTCAGCCCATTCTATTTAATGTATGGTAGGCATCCACGTTTGCCTCTTGAAGTCCAAAAGTATGTAAAGCACGTCGATAACGACCCCAGCGAAATTGAAAAACTGGCAAGGGAATTAAACTCAGAGGATGTCCTCCAGGAGCATGTGCAACAAATGACAGCCACAAGAGATGCACTTTTCCCAAGAGTGCAGGGAAACATAGAAGCTGCACAAGAAAAGCAAAAGAAGCAGTTCTTAAAAAGAAAAGGAGGCTTCGACTGCACATTGAAGAAGGGTGATGCTGTTCTACGCCGCAATATGCTCCAAAAGACAAAAAAGGGGCACAAAATGGAAGACCAGTGGACTGGCCCATACACCATAGAAGAGGTTGACTTACAAAAGGGAACCTGCAGGTTACGTGGAAAAAGTGGCGAGAAACTAAGAAGGATAGTGAACATGAAAGACCTCAAAGCGTACAGGGTTCAATCCACAGCTCAGCAGACAGCACAACCACCATTGCAGCATCCTCACTGTTCTTCTCAGCATTCAGCGACAGCACTCCAACATCAACAACAGGCACCATCGCAGCAGCCAGTACCATCTATGCAGCCTGCAACACCATTGCAGCAGCCAAAACAATCCCAGCAGCTATCGCCAACCAAAACGGCCACAATACAGCAGTTAATGTCATCCCAACAAGCACCATCCAAGCAGCCTACACCACACCAACAGCCAGCACCACACCACCGGCCAACACCAATGCCACGGACAAAGGTTCCCCAACCAAAAGTACCACCCAATCAGCCAACACCAATGCCGCGGTCGAAGTGCCCCAAACTTCAAGCACCTTCCAAGCAGCCAAAAGAACATCACCAGCCAGCACCTTCTAGCCAGCCAACACAACCAAATCAACCTACACCTTCCAGCCAGCCAACATCACCTAATCAGCTAGCACCTTCCAGCCAGCCAACATCACCTAATCAGCTAGCACCTTCCAGCCAGCCAACATCACCTAATCAGCTAGCACCTTCCAGCCAGCCAACATCACCTAATCAGCTAGCACCTTCCAGCCAGCCAACATCACCTAATCAGCTAGCACCTTCCAGCCAGCCAACATCACCTAATCAGCCAGCACCTTCCAAACAGCAAACATCACCTCATCAGCCAGCACCTTTAAACCAGCAAAAATCACTTAATCAGCTAGCACCTTCCAAACAGCAAACATCACCTCATCAGCCAGCACCTTTAAACCAGCAAAAATCACCTAATCAGCTAGCACCTTCCAGCCAGCCAACATCACTTAATCAGCCAGCACCTTCCAAACAGCAAACATCACTTAATCAGCTAGCACCTTCCAAACAGCAAACATCACTTGATCAGCCAGCACCTTCCAAACAGCAAACATCACTTAATCAGCCAGCACCTTCCAAACAACAAACATCACTTAATCAGCCAGCACCTTCCAAACAGCAAACATCACTTAATCAGCAAGCACCTTCCAGGCAGCCAAAACCACCTAATCTGCCAGGGGCTCAGCAACCGGCAAAATACCAGCCCTTTGAACCAAACAAAAAAATACAGAACATTTCAAAGAAGGACATTGCTTCCTGCTTTGACAAAGTAATCAAAGATCACCTTTCAGAAGTACTCAGTGGCACCAAGGAAAGCTGGCGACATGAAATTTTCCATGGAAGAATATTATCAGACAGGGATAAAGAGATGATCGAAAGGGTAGATCTCAAGTTCAATGTGCCATTTGGGGACTTTGAGGAAAATCAAACATATCACATGGTAACTCTAATAGCAAAGCACTTCCCAAAGGTCAGTCAAAAGTACTTAATGGAGGTACTTTTACCAGAGGCTCTAATTACCCTATGTTGTCAGCAATTACAAATTACACGCAACCAGGCTGAGGATCTCCTAGAAAGTGGTGGAAAGCATGAGGCAGATGCATTCCTGCAAAAAATAGAACAAAGAAGTAAAGGAAAGTTCTTGAAAAAGAAAAAAGCCCCGAAAAGAAAAATGCAAGGAGCCGAAGAAGCTGAAGACGAAGTTCAGTTTTTGAAACAGGCTAGGATGGACGAAGCATCTATTGCTAAAATGCAAAGGCCTACATTTAAACTGAATCAAGAAGATGTAGACATAATTGGCAAAAATGCAATGCTTACAGATCTTCAAATACAAATGGCCCAAGAACTGTTGCATCGCCAATTTCCTTATATCGAGGGGCTGCTGTCTCCAACAATTGGGAAGGCAGAACAGTTTCCAGTGATGCGGAACAGCTTCATTCAAGTGCTACACACTGGTGGTAATCACTGGGTTTGTGTCAGTAATATTGGATGCAGCCACAACAACCAAGTGAAACTCTATGACAGTCTTTATAGTGGAATTGCGCCATTCACCAGAGAGCAGATTGGTGCCCTTCTTTTCAACCAAGACAGCAATGTTATTGAAATTTGTGTCCCTCCTGTTGACCAGCAAACAAATGGGACAGACTGTGGAGTTTTTGTGATTGCATTTGCCACAGCACTCTGCCATAATATGGACCCCACATCACTTAAGTTCAACAGGCGGGCAATAAGGGCACATCTCTTAGATTCCCTTAAAAATGGATACATTGGTATATTCCCCTTTGAGGAAAAATCAAGCATTGGTTATGAAGAGACTGTTGCCATGCCAGTGTACTGTGACTGCCGCCTCCCATACAATCCAACCAAAGACCAGATGGCAGAATGCACCAATTGCAAGAAGTGGTTCCATCAAGCTTGCCAAAAAATTCCTGACAAAGTTTTCAAGTATAAAAGGTTTCAATGGAAGTGCAATAACTGCCAAATTGCTTAGATACAGACATCTATTTTTTAAGGCAAATGGTTATTGAAAATATTAGGGACTGTCAATTTTTATGTGGTGGGGTGGTAGATAGTCACTATAATATGTGATGACTTCCCCTTTTCATCAAAATTTTTCCCTGCCCCCACCCCTTGTTACCATAATTGTGTGACACTTAAGAGTAGTTATTTGGGTTAAACCCCTTCCTCTCCAAACTGACCATTTTTATTTGGTTGGCTCCACTTTCAAACCAACTGTTCTGGCATGACCCCTCTGAAGACTATTAAACCCCCTACCTCATAAAACTGAAAAAGTCTCACCACTCAACAAAATGTCAGGCCAAAACACTTCAATGACAACTCAGGCTAAAGTACTAGCACAAGAAAAAGGAAAAGTAAATGATTTTGGCAATGGTAATTCAATGAAGCCATGGTGCTAATTGTCAACTACATAAAATACAAGAGTTTTACAGATGAAATCAATACCATGGAATAAATCATTAAAAAGTATCACAATTTGAAAAATAAAAAAAATCACCATTTGTTAGTCATTGTTAACAAGCCTATCCATAAATGCCTTTTTCCAGAGGGTACTTCCCTTCTTGGAGTTTGTTGATATTTTTTTGCATTGTCTGATAGGTTTCACTTCTGTAACAAACCCAGTTTTAGAGTTTGCCCATTGATTTACAGGTGGCTTGTTCACAAATTCATCAGCATTATTAGGCTTTGAAACAATGTTAAGTTTTTTTGTAGTGTTACTGCTATTTTACAAGAATATGTGACATTTATAAAGTAGAACAAAAGTTTGCTCTGAAATATTTATTGGATAGTACATATACATTTGAGGAACACTGAAACATTGCAAGTAGATATCGCTTACCATGCAGTGGATATCACTTTACTAGTAGATTAATATTATCAGTTAACAATCATTTTCATAATCTATACAACCATGTTGATTTATCAATAAAATTACCTGATCTTTCGCATGTAGTTCAAATTAGTTGGCCTGTTGTTTTTATGAGCACTTATTAGACACAACAAAAACAGTGCAGAAAAATATCCAGGCTGTCCATACTGGCAAATACTGGAAAACCAAGACTTCGGTTACCATGATAAGGACTTGGTTGTCCAGGGCCGTACAGATTTCAAAACAAAAACAAACCAAAAAAAAATATCAACAACATAGAAGCCCCGTTTAAAAATGAATTCAAATGGTTTTGATGTATAGTGAGTGATTGATGTGAACTACGGAACGTGAACACGAAATAGTTTCCAAACGCGGTAAAGTTCTAGACCTTTATCCACCAAAACAACTTATTGCGCAAACACACTTTTAAGTTGTCGCAAACGACAGGACAAACGCTAGTTTCGAGCAGTGGCTCGAGCGAACTAATCGTTGGTACTTAAATTAAATGCTGGCGAAACGACTGAAATCCATGTAACTATTTTAAAGGTTTTGGAAATATAAAAACACCTCTTACCTTGTTATTCAGTTGCATTGTGATCTTCTTCCGTTTATATTTTGGATCGGAAACTTTAAAATATAAAACCACAAAATTTGTTCCTCGTAGCCACCATGTTTTCTTTGAAGCTCTAAAAGGCCCGGGTGCAAAGCTTCAGTGTTTTGTGTATCCCTACCAGGGGTACACATATCACTAGTGATATGTGTGCGGGGGTACACATATCACGGGGGTACACATATCACTGTGACACCGCCATAAGACCTCTTGGCATTGGAGTTGTGCCAGTCGATACTGTAAAGCGTCCTGGAAAACGGAAGGAGAATATTACACCTTAACTAAAGTTGCTTCAGATAGTAAACCTGTTGTCGAAGCTTATTCGTTTGATCTCGGGAAAACCATAAACGTCAATTTTAAGAGACAAGTGATTTGTACACAACATTGGCCCAAAGGCGTACGAAAAAACCTGGAAGATCCGCCTTCAATTAAATACACAAATGTGCAAGGAAAAGAGACTAAAGAAGGTCGTGAACATTGGAACTGTGCTGCAGCTCTGTGTACAAACTCCTGGCGAACTAAACTCGAGGGATTACAATACTATTGTTTAAGTGACTTCGCTCAATGCAAAGACAAACAACATGCTTATAATAAAGTATTAATGAACAAAGCAGTTGACTTCAAACGCGATTTTATATTTTCAGTACACTGGTCAAAAGGATTTAGAGACAACTTAGATGATCTCTCAGATAGAGCTTGCCACCCGGACTACGTGAATAAACAAACAACAAAGAAAGTGACACCACAAAGTAAAATTGCTGCTGCAAAACGTTCTCTGAGTACGACTAAGCAAACAAACACCAAGAGAAGGAAACTCATACGTTCATCCTGTTCACTTGACTTTAATTCAGATGAATCTAAATTTGACATAATGCAAAAAGAATTACAAGAGCTCAAAGAAAAGCTAGAGAACAAAACCGAAGAGGCAAACAGACTGTCTCAGCAAGTGAAAGACCTCACTGAAAAAAATGACAGTTTAAGCAAGCAGATTGCACAATTTAAAGGGAAGATGAAAGACTTGACATTTTCATATGAATGTTTCAAGTTACGACCCAAAAGATTTTTTTAGATGAGTGGATTAACTGTTGATGATTTTAATTGTGTTTTGGAATGCATCGAGCCATATATTTCTGTAATAATTTATCCTGATTGCAAAACTAACCAAGATGGGCAAAGAAAACTCACAAAGAGAACTGAATTGTTGTGTTATTTTACAATATGCTGTCATACATTGCATCTTGGAGTCATGGCTTTCCTCACGAACACAAGTGATTCAACTATATCCCGTATTTTTTCTGCATGGTCAATATTTCTTTCAACTCGTTTTGACTCTATTGACCTCAGTCCATACCCGGGGGAAGTTATTTCATTGTTACCCAAAGAGTTTTGGTCTTCTGGTTTTCAGGACACTGTACTATTAGGGGACTGTACAGAAAACTGGATCTCATCACCTGAAAACTATGATGTGAGTAGTGCAACATTTAGTAATTACAAGAACCATGACACTGGTAAGACAGGCATATGGATGACTCCATATGGTGGCTTGGTGATGTGTACAGATACCTATCCTGGAGGAGTAACAGACAATGAATTAACTGAACAATGTGGAGTTTTAGATATGGTAAAAGAGAAGGGTACCACTGTACTCACTGACAAGGGGTTTGGCATCGAAGACTTATGCCACTCAAAAGGACTGCTGACTGAGATTAGCAAAAATTTTGATGTTGCTACACTGCGCATTTATAATGAAAACTTTATTGGCCGTATGAGAGACTGGTCAATCTTAAATGCATGCTGGCCAAAGAATAGATGTGACCTTCTGGGTTGCACCTATATGGTATTTGCTCACATCGTCAATATGCTATTTGACCCTATTGCACCAAAGGAAAAAGTTTCCAGTACAACTACAACCATTTCATCATTTTTTATACAAAAACTTTTAATAGAGACTACTGAAAATTTGAATTAAAGAAGATTTTGATTGATATCAGATGACACAAATTCAGAGATCAAATTGTGGTCAGTATAAAAAAATAAATAAAAAAATAAATAAAGCAAAAACGTTTTAAAAGGGCTGCAATATTTATACCTGTGAAACAGTTATAAATATATTTAGTACTAAATAGTACTAAATGTTTGAATGTCTTGTTTCCTATTGTCTTATTAGTGCTATTTACTACTATTTAGTGCTAATTAAATAGAATTGTTTCACAGATATATTGTTTGCTTTCTTACACTAATAAATGAATGAGGAATGTTAGTTTTACAGTATATCTTTATTTCATACACTTTCTGTTGTGAAATATACATGTTGTACCTTGTTTTAAACACAACAAGAACTTTCTGTAGCCTGAACAGTATATTATTTAGATGTGCTAAAAGTTAATCATTTCTGTGGTACAGTTAGTAATTGTAGCTTAAAAAGAAATGCATATTGTTGACTTTGCTACAGAATTAACCCAGGATCTGAAGTGGCGGGTATTTTCAAAACTTGGCACTGAGCCCACCAGGTGATTACCCAACTTTTTAAGATGTGGATGCTCAAAATGTGCCCAGGGATCTTGGAAAGATTTGTTTTCATATATATGTATTAATATTTCCATCATGATCTCACATAAAATGTGATTTTTTTGAACAGGAAATAGGTAGCAACTTTTGTCTCAGGAACATATGACATTAAATAGGTCAGGTCTGTTTGTGTGCACTCCATCTGAAGGTGACACTGGCACAAGTGAGCTCCTGTGATCTGCAATATATAATAATATGAAACTTGAATCCTGTGATATTTTCTCACTGTTTTCAACTTAGTATGCAAATTGCCTATTTCAGATCACGTCATTCCCTTGAGATTTGTTCTTTTGTTAAAATATTTACAAATAAAAGAATCAACTCCCAAAAGTGGCACTACGTGGTCTGAAGTGGGCCTAACAAATAAAGAAGGTAAATATGTCTATTGAGCTACAATTTATGTTAATGAGTTAAAAAATATTTGTGGGTGTGGATAAGGGTGGAAGGAGGAAGACCTACTGTGATAGCAATGCTTGTATTGAGTACTGTCACTCAATAAAGTATTGACTTTCAGCATTTATGGTTAACTTGGGAGATTAATTATTGATATATTGGTGAAATATTCAATAATGTAATAATCCATCGTCTTACATGTGGCAATGGTTTCAATGCAATCTCCATTTTCTTGTTTTTTTCCTCTTCGTATTGCATTTTATTCCTGTTGCTTGCCTCTAATAAAAATTGGTAATTTACTCCTTTTTGGATTTAAAACATGTTCATCAATTCTGTTCTGTATTGCAAACCATCCATTGTCAAACTCTTTCACACCATTAAATCCTAGGAAAGATGGAACCTTGCTTGCAGTGATAGTCCCAACTCTTAGTGCTCTCCATTCATTAGAACACTGCTCAACTTCCAAATAATTCTGCTTTTTCAATAAAGGAATGATAATCTTTTCATTCTGGAATGACCGGTCAGATGGGCTGCTGCTGCACGAATCATCATTTGACTCAGTTGATATTTGTGGCCTCCAAATTGACTCAGTACCTGCTAGAATCTTGGTTTTAAT